AAGAGAGTGTGGGAGTCCAGTTGATTCTTATGTTTTAAAAGAAACACAGCCACAGACAGGTGCTTATTGCACATTACCCCAAAAAATTGATCAGGGAAACTTCGGCAAGCCAACGACAACTCCTGCCAAGAGAGTTACGAAGCACAAAACCTGAAACCGTGAGCCCGCATGTGGCAACAATCACACAGCAAAACACAAGACGGCAATGTGTCACTACATATTTCACAGGAACGGACTGTGCACTATTTAAGATGATAACAAATCAAATATGGAATTAACCAAAACACTTACTATCAAATTATATGATTAATAATAGACATTATCTAATCTGACCCCGTAGAGCAAACATGCTGCATAATATTCACATGGATGAGATACTTTTTTAAAAGATGAATCAGGTCCCATTGGATTCTGAGATGCATAACAACAGACTTCTGATTAGCATATGACATAAGACACTGCTCTTAATTAGAAAGCACATGTGCACACACACACAGACTTATTTCATACGTGTACGACCCGGCCGTTGAAACCAATCTAAAGTTATAGTTCAATTTCACTCATCCCTGTGTGGACATGACACAGCTCCGCACTGCAACTCGCATTTCTTCTACTCACTGATCAGCTTGAAGTCCATTCTGTTCGAGGGCTTCATGGTTGCTGGATATTCAGCCGGCCACGCTGCCTCCCACACTGACAGTTCAGTGCCGGGCTGAGCGAGCTGCACTCGTCCACATTTGAGCCGCCAGTCTCCTCTCTCCTGCAGCTGCTGTCTCTCTCTCTCTCTCTCCCTCTCTCTCTCTCTCTCTCGCTTTCTCCCTCTCTCTGGCTGCCTGCTCTGTCTCTCTCCCTCACTCCATTTCTAACTTGAACTCTCTCCAACCTGCACTTTGTCTTTCACTCCCTCTCTCACTCACCTGGCTCCTCTTCTTTGGCTTATCAGCAAAAAGTCTGTCCTTGCTCTCTCACCATTTCTCTGTCTCGCACACAGTCTCTCTCTCTCTCTCTGTCTCTCTGTCTCTCTCTCACCTTTCACTGACACCATACATAGTTCACAGCCATGCACTAGAGTTGGACCAGTCAGACAATCCCACTGCACAAACACACACTGTCATAAATCATTGCACTCATAGATATGAAGTACAGAAACAAGTAATAAAAGTAAAGGATAAAAAGACACACATTAATCCATCTCAAATACTGGAAAAATGTGGTAAATTCTGTGTTTTTGGAAAATAAAATAGAATTTCTTATCATGTAAGAAGTCAGGATGCAGTCTCACAGTATTTTTAACAGTTATAGTCTGTGTAAACAATACATGTTCTTGAAATCCTTGCGACTTCCGTTCACAAACCACGTCTCCTGTCAATGGGTCTGAAATGCTGCCGGGCAACACAATGCACAATGACGACAAAGAGGAAGAGTTAAAAAGAAAGAAGGAAGAAAAAAGAGAAAAGAAACAGCAGCACTGGAAGGATGGTAGTCGATAAACGAGCTACTCGCTTTTTTTTTTTCAGATGTACAGTAAATGAATGAACGCCAACATAACACATCCACCTCCTCCGCAAACCTCAGACCGCTTTCTGAGAATGAGAACGTCAAATAACATAATTAATACATCTCAGCTTTATCATCAAACGTCAATGGTGTTTGAGATGACGTGGACTGGGAATGACTCTCAACACGTTCAACAAGGAAAGAACTACGTAAAACAAAAGCCACTGTGTTTTATTACCGGTATATGAAGCAATGATTTACGGTCCCTCCACTTCTCAGTACCACTACACCTGTTCAAAGCGCACACACACCACCTTGACCTGTCCCTTGTCTGAGCCACTTGACATCAAACACACACATTCATAGGTGTCAGTAGGTTAGCAAAGGCTGAGACACTGACCCACACATGTGCCACCTGTACCTGTAAAATATCTTTCATTAAAACGCCCCTCCCGACCTCTTACTGAAACCAAATGATTTATCACGATGTTAAAGAAAGACGTTAAAGGGATGGTTCACCGAAAAATGAAAATGTACTCATTATCCATCCACCACTATGCCGATGGAGGGGTGGGTGAAGTCTTCGGTGAACCAGCCTTTCGGGTCATTAAAGTGAACATGGAGATGCTCTAGATAAACATTCCACCTCTCACCACTCACACTACAGCTCTAAGAATACACCAGGGTTGGCCAGGTGGTTATTACGGTAATCCTTGAAAGCATGTGGGACACGGCCACTCGTCAAGTTTGCTAAATTACTTCCAGTTTTCCTGCCTGTAAACTGTATCAAAGATCAATTCCTGATTAGGCTACGGTGATAACAGGAAATATTGTCACAGACAAACAAGAACAATAAAGAAATATTTGGGATGTTTTCATCATTTCATCATCCCTGACGTCATTCATGCATTTTTTTTTTTATCCTGTCCATCCAGTGCTCAGTCATCAAGGTCAAACCCCTTCACATCTAATAAGCGTTTAATAAGTAAGATTGAGCGTTTGTCAAATGTAACACCTGCTCTGATAAATGACATCAATGAGATATACTCTATTAAATATTCAAAGAAATGATCAGAACTTTAACCTTGGACTTTAACCAGAGGACAGAAGATTTGCTAAATTCTAGCAAGTGTTGAATGTATTTTAATGCAATCGGTATCTTTTATGAACAATTTTGTATTTTTAAAAAGTCTGGTTTAAAAACACAATTTATTTCAAAGTACTGCAACAGAAATCTCATAACTCGTGAAATAAAAACCAGAATTTCCAGAGATTTGAATAAAGGGACAAGAGCAAGGGAAATTTCACTCCTCTTTTAGTCCTTTGCAAAACAGCAGCATTTTCATTTCAGGCAAAAAGAAAGGAGGAGAGGTAACAAAAAGATGACCCTCTTTTCAGAGATTTCCAGAAAAAGGGGTTATCTTCAACAGACAAATGTGGCACACAGTGCTTCTAAAGCTGTGAGTCTATTTCAAACCCCCATCAATGCAACATATTTTCATTTTCTTTTCAGTGAAGGTTGTGCAAACAGTTTTGCACAGAGGCTATATTTGTCAGGAGTAATGGCAGGTTTGTATTATGCTCTGCTACATCAAAAAGCCTTGTGACTTGCAATCAAATTACACAGTTTACAATCACAATGAACCTTTTTTTTCTGAAGCACGAAATATTAAGACAAGAGCAGGTTGTAGCGCTGAAACACTGAAGACATGAACACTACCGTAAATGGCAAGAAGGCAATAACCACACTAACTCTCCAAATTTAAAACATAACTCAGACCTTCCCAAAGCATCAGGATAACTCAATATCTTTTATGACACCTGATTAAAACATTAAAACACTGACCTTGCAAACAATGTCTTTGAAAACCTGTGAGCCAACTCGTTCAGTCGGAGTCATCAGTGTCTTGCTCAGGAGCAAATAGATTTTATACAGTACCCTTTAGTTTGTTCTGCTTTATTTGAGTTTAGTGAGTGAATCGCAACTATTTTTACAAAAGTTATGTGTCTCTGTTTCAGGGGCATCATCATTTCTGGAGAGAGATAAAGCTTTCTGATAAACTAAATGTCAAATAATCCAAACTACACTCTGTGTGTGTGTGTGTGTGTGTGTGTGTGTGTGTGTG